GCACCTCGGTGTCACTGTCACGATCGTTGTCACTTGACACAGTTAGAATCCCGACGATTTATTCACACTACGATCGGGGTAATTAGCCACGGCTACCGAATTCGTATTAGCGCGGCAGTGACGAGCATCCGGTTTACGCGACCAGGCGTAGGCGACGTGAGAGGACGAGAGTGTTCCACCAGTGTGTCCAGCAACGGCAGCTGGAAACTCTCGTTAAAGTCTGGCAATCTTTCTGTCACGCGTTCTAAAACGACGACCCCGTCGTCGTCGTCGTCGTCGTGATCGGACACCGGCGTGCACGACCGCCACTTAGAGCAGTCTAAGTCCGTACTAAGCGAAATGCGATGCCACATTTCTTTCGTGGCCTGCCTTCTGCGCCGGCCATAGTTGACGGCTCCCCTCCAAGGGCGCCACTCGCCGAGATCGGAGCTGCACAAATACTCAGGGCTGTATTTTCAGGGCTACCAATGATCGCGCTCACGAGGGAAGATCTTGAACCCGGAAATTCAAAATATTGTCAAAACTTTTTAATGTACAGTATCTTCTTCATTACAGTGAAATTATTTCACTATTTTTCGCTCTTACTTATTTTCTTCAACTATTGAACACAATGAGAATTTTTATTAGCAAAGTTGTTTATTTTGATGTACAGTATTTTTTAGTGATTAAGGGTTGTTTGAGAAAATCACATTTACTGAATATAATAGTTTAATATTTCTTTTTGGACTAAAACTGAGCAACGGAAATATTGTATCTTGATTGGATAGACATTTTCTACGTACTTATAAGTATAATGGCAAATATCTTAAATTATTAAATACGTATTTATTGCTTACATAGTATATTTATAAATTGAAGCGTTTGGTTGATTTTTTTTAATTTGTAATATTGACAAGTATGGATCATGTTCAATAATCTGTCAGAGATTTATACCTTTTTTATCAAATTAATGCAAAATTATTTGCGCAGTTCCTATTATCTTTATTTTTGCAATATATTTCATACATGAAAATTCTAGATTAAAATAATCAACTTCTTTCACTCTACAGTCTACATAAATCAATTTTCACTATGTTTTAGTATAAAATACAAACTTATTAAATAAATTACTCTCTTCATTTTTTACTGAATATAGTACTGTGATAAAAGCAAGTCTCAGTTATATCATTATAAATATGCAAATGTTACATATAAATTAAATATACTCAAATTGCTTAAATTGTAATCTATTAAACTTTTAATTTATTTGTGCATTAGTGTTTAATGCATAATTTTATTTTAATTTGTAATTACAAGTTTTATTAAGATTCATTAAAAAAAACATTAACCCTTAATTACGTTTAAGATAAAAATTAAGTTCTCATTCTACATTAAATTCTATATTATTTATATTAAAAATTAAACACTAACATTTTGTCAGAAAATGATTAAACAATGACAGTTCAACTTTTGACTAAAGAAATACTTCATTATCACTAATAATTTAACCGTTCAATTATCAATAACGCAACAAAAAACTTCAAAACCTTACTATGTAGATAAAAATGAAAATAACAAAATTTAAAGCAAACAGAAATAATAAAATTACGTTCGCAATTATTTCGACCCCAAGTTCTCCACAACTGATGATTTTCGCGGCACAGTGGTACGTCACTGCGGGTACCGATGACATCGGAGCCGAAATAAGCCGAACTTGGCCGAAGTGATCGGAACTTATTCGTGATTGGCTGAATCGGTGTGGCGTTCTGCGTTGCTAGGATACGGCGATGCGGCAGCAGAAGGGGCACAGGGGGGCACGACGCAGGACCACACACGCGGTACCATTTCCCCTTGAGCAAAAACATTACCCACACACGGCAGTGAGTACGTGACACGCACGAGGCACACAACAGCGCTTACAGATCGCCTCAGCATCTCCTTCTCTCGTTCTCGGTTTCTCTTCTCTCTTTATCATTGCCTCCACACTGTCTCGAGAAACAGTTTTCTACACGCCTCGTGCTCTGTGTGCTGGCGAAGAGAAGGCCCGAACGATCCGAGAAGCGCAGTGAACGCGGCCGAAGACGGAACGGAAGAGGGCCACCTATGTACACTCGGGAGCAAATCTGTCTTCCTTGGGGAAAGTTTAGAAATTTAGAAATATGAGAATGTACATTTGGGAATTTTGGGATTTTGGGAGTTTGAGATTTGGAGGTTTGGAAATTTTGAAATTGGGGGTTTATTGAGAGTTTAGAAGTTTTGGAATTTGTGGGTTTATCAAGTTGGACATTTGATAATTTGAGAATTTGGAAATTTGGAGTTTAAAGCATGTAGGGATTTAGAAATCTGGGGATTTGGTAATGTGTGGATTTTTATGGGAATTTAGGTTTTCTGCAAATATGGAGATTCAGGAATGTGAACATTTAAGAACGTGAAAAGCTAGGAATATGGATTTTTGTAAAGTTGAAGAATTTTTTAATGTATGAATTTGAAAATTTCTGAATTTTAGAATGTATAATTTAGAAATTCGGCTACCTATCAATATGGGAATTTAGGAATGTGAAACGTTAAAAATGTAGACATTTGAAATTCAGATATTAAAAAAAAATTTGAAATTACCAAGTTCATATCTCCCAGAATGAAAACCAAATGGTGTGAGGCAGCTCCTCCCCTACGCTCATCCTTATTCAAAGGAAGCCTACGTTGCGGCCGAATGTACCCGAACGTAAACACGACTCCCTTACGGGTCTCTGGTAGATCGAAATCGCTGCTGCTCTTGGCAATATTAATCGAGACCGGAAATACGCCAGTTTACTGCCTCTACCGCCGCCTCCTCGCCACTGCACACTAAAGCAAATCTGCATAATTGATTATACGCGTCTCTCCATTGCCACTGGTTATGATTTGATTGGCGGTTACGGGTATAGGGTTCCGACTATGTTCTCTCATGGTATTATTGTTACGTCCTGCACGTATAATGGATTTTTTCGCTAAGGGGTAATGTTCTTGTCCTTCATCTAGCGTCCCTGTTCTGTAATTTCATTTCGAATCAGCGACGAAAGTGAAACTGCGACTTCTCCATAAAAGATGAACAGCTGCTATTCAATTCTCCGCGGAACCGTCAATTTTCAATGACTTTTGAAATAAGAAATTATGGGGTTGTTGCTCGAGAGTTTTAAAACTTTGTACTTTTATTTATAATCAAAACATTGTGCAGTTTTACTCATTTTGAAATTGTAGCTTCTTAACCGCATGTCACTTCTGATATTTTTAATTTGAATAAGTTTTTTATCTGGTAATAATTTTTGTTAAACAAGTTTTGTATGTATTAACAACTTTTCTATCTGTTGTTATTTATCTGAACAAAAATTCAAAGATGATTCTAATATATATAACCGGGATAATGTTAACCTTTTGCACTACAATATTGTGATGCACACTGCAGTTGTAATGTGAGAAAACGGATTGGTATTTTCACCTCAGTTTAGTTTTCGATTCAATCCTAATTATATTCCATGTAATCAAGTATCGCCGAAGGTAAAATGCGCCCACCATTTTAATTTCCTTCAGTCACCTTAACGTTGTAGCAATAATTAGCTAGCAAGGAATGATGCAACTGTCTAGCAATTTGTAGGTTAAGGGGTAATAGTGTTAAGAGCGTTTTTGAATGCGTTTATTAAGCCATGGGGAAGAGCGTTAACACCGGACGATTAACTTATTAACCTGTCTTCATAATATCTGCATAACGATGCACTTCATTAGGCGTCGTAACAGCACTCCTGTGCGGGGTCGCGCGTCGTGTGTCCGTTGCACGCGCGTGTATGCACGCTGGAACGTTCATTGGGCAGTCTCGCACGCACTCGAGATTTGTGTGCACGTGTGGTGTGGAGCAGCGTGAAAAGAAGGACAGACAGATCGCGGTAGAACGGGAGGGAAAGAAGGAAATTAAATAAGAGGGAGAAAGAAAGAGTGAAACAAGCTGGCAGATCGAAAGAGGTAATGTATAAATACACGACCACCCACTGCGATACCGAGTCCGACACCCTGTCCCGCCAAATACGAGACAATTTTCGATTCTGATACGGACAGCCACGACTTTTTATCTTTTTCCTCTTTTTTA